ATTGTTCCTGGGAGGGTGGGCAGGGTGTGGGATGGAACTCCCAGAGCAGCTGGGGCTGCCCCTGGATCCCTGGAATGTCCCAGGCCAGGCTGGACAGGGCTTGGAGCAGTGGGAGGCGTCCCTGCCATGGCAGGGGTGGGACAGGATGGGATTTAAGGTCCCTTCCACCCCAAACCATTCTGAGATGGCATGTGGGGAACATTTGTTCCTTTATTAAACACAGACCCCTCAGGTGACTCCAAGAGAAGCACTCTGGTGCAGTTCTCCTGGGCACATCCCATCCAGCAGGAATGCTGCTCACTTTCTAAGGAAGGAGGAAAGGCAAATGTCACAGTCTGAGCTACAGGTGTCTGTGCACACCTGTCAGTCACAGAGGGGTCAGTCACACACACCTGTGTCACTCCCACACTCTTTCCCAGTGCCCGGAGCTGCTGTGCACACACCGTCCTTGTCCTGCTGCTCTAACCTGACACCAGGACACTGGGCTGGGGCTGCTACTGAGTTAAAGAAGGGAAGTTACCAAATTTCTGTGATTCTGTGTGTATCCTCAGGGTTTTTAAAAGATTAACTTATTTTCCTGTACCGTTTATGGGAAGAACTCCACCTGAGCCCCAAGAAAATCTCGTGGTGCTTTTCAGAGATCCTGGTAACAGTGTCCTCAAAACCAACCCCAAGTCCTCACCCAGCGCTACAATGTCCCAGAGCTGGAGGAAACAAAAAGAACTTTTGTAGTTGCCTTATTCCACTGACAGAATCCCAGGATGGTTTGGGTCTGAAGAGGCCTCAGAGACCACCCAGCTCCACCCTCTGCCATGGGTCGGGACATCTTCCACCCTGCCTGGCTGCTCCAAACCCTGTCCAGCCTGGCCTTGAGCAGTCCCTGGCACTATCCATATGGATCCGGAGGTTTCTGTGGCACCACCAGCCTGCCAGGGGAGTCCAGCAGGAGCAAACAGCGTTTGAGGGAGCTCTGCCTTCGGAAGCACCAGCAGCGATCATCCACAGGTTCTATCCCACCGCCGTGCAGACAGCCCGGCAGGACGCACCTCGTGGTGAGCGGGGCAGGATGAGGTGGAAGCTCAGGAGGAAAAGACGCCCTGGTGGAGCACAGCCGCTCCCGGCCAGCAGCAGAAGCACCAACGCAGCGCTGCCGTCCTTCAGCCCGTCCCGGCGCCTCGCCAGCGCCCCGAACAGCTCCACGGGCTGCAGCCAGCGGGGGCACAGCGCCCCAAAGCCGGGGAGCAGCCGGGGAGCGGCCGGGGAGCGGCGGGTGGATCCCGCGGGGAGCGGGACGTGCCGCTCCGGCAGCGTCTGCGCGACCCTCCCCGCCCGCGGGGCCCGGGACAGCGGCACCGGCACCGGGCAGGGCCGGCCCGGCTTCTCTTGGCACCGGGACGGAGCCCGGAGCCGCCGGCACCGGGAGCCCCGGGCTGTCCGGTGCCGAGCCCCGAGCCCGCCCCGCAGGTCCCGGGACAGCGGCTGCGGGCAGGGCCGGCTTCTCTTGGCACTCCGACTTGGCTCCGTGACCGAGCCCGGAGCCGCTGCCGCGCGGGCGGAGCC